GACGGCTTGTAGACCACCAGCATCATTGTATTTATAGAGAGCGTCATGGTGGGATAGGGTCAGAGTTGAGGGGTCGTGACTGGACCTTTCCGGTAGCAGGAGCCCCGATGAGTGCAAGCACGAGATGTATTTTTTTGTATGATTTTGACCATGTCAGGACTGTAATGTGAATCAGCTGTACATCTGCACTTGTGCAGCCGTGACAGTAAGAAGATTATCTGTGCTAAAAATATATATATATATATGATTGCGTTTTCTTTTAACTATTCGCTGTTGGCTGATTTACTAGCATCAGAAAAAAACAATTATAAACCATAATTCTTCATTTCATGACTTTCAGGAATGCTTGATTCTGACTGGTCATTTGCTGAATATTCTGAGGTCAAATATTTTGTGGTATGACTGTTGTAATTGTCTGTTTTACCAGGCAAGCACATTTCATGTCTCTTGTACCCAGTGTTACTCTCTAATTAATTAAATTACTCAAATTAAATTACACTACTCAAATTACTTTTTTCCTACTTTGTGTGAAAAGTAAATGTATTACTCAAGTAATTTACTTATTGATTCGACTTAATACTACTTAAATTCCATATAAATCAATAGAATCCATAGAAATTAAACTCGTAATTATTTATATTTAAATTTAAGTCAAACGGGACATTTTTGTTCTAATTTTTTTATAATCAAACAATTTAAAACAATTTAAACATTATATGGGTCAAAATTAGAAACGATTAAAAAAATTTGCAACACCATATTTTACACATACCATATATTGACAAAATTCTTACTTCATTGTTTCTTAAAGGTGCAGTACTGTATTTAAGTTTGACACCCAGTGGTTGAACTAGTTATTGAATTCCTGGATCAAAACAAACACAAGCGCAGGTTGCCAAATTGAGGACCAACCAGGCTGATTTAAATCGTGTTCTAAATAAAAGCAACGACACACGATAGAAGGAATATTTTCCATATTAAAATGAGTTATTGTACTATTGTACTACACTTCGAATTGATAGAAATAGAAACAGCTTCTATTTCTCACAGGTGAGCAACAGAAAACTGACAATGATCACCTCACGTACACCTCATGTGCTTTATTCAGTGTTAAATGCTAACATTGTGAGTTTGAATGCCATTTGCAATATTTATATTATTTGCCAATCAGTAACCCCATGTGGAACTCTGATTCTGCGTCTCATTTTGGACTCTACTACTGTCCACCGGAGGTTGCATTTTGGTCACGGGCGCATGCTTTGAGAGCCTTTCTGAATGAACAAATGGATGAAATATGTGGTTTCCCTCCAAGGCAATCCGGAGTGCTGAAATATAATTGGCTAAAGTGGCATTGGGTGGGTTAAAAGAACCCAAACAAAGACAGCGTTCCAGCACAGAAAGCACATTTTCAAAGCAGAATATCTGACATTAGTATTGTTTTTCAAATAAAAATGAATGTTCACTTGGCATGTTTCTTAAATATCTGCAAACATATTATGGTATTTTTTAGAAGAGTCAAAAATTACATAGAGCACCTTAAGCATTATCATTCTTTAGTTATCATGTTAAATCAGGTTATTATGCAAAATATCTAAAAATATATAACTAAATAACTATGCAGATACTCTGAATATATATATATATATATATATATATATATATATATTCAGAGTATCTGCATAGTTATTTAGTTCTTATAGTATTAGTTCTTATATTTCATGAACTAATTTCTCACTAATATTGCATTTACATTGATAAATGTTACATTTACTTGAAAAATAGAATTATTCTGCAAAATATATTTGATATTTGATAATAAAATTACAACTCTTAAATTGATTTATACAAAACTATTAAATTATTTACAGTATTTAAAGCAAGTAAATTATAAGTAACTGTAATTTTTCTAAAAAGAAAAAGTAAACTCTTAATTAATAACATTTTTTAATCAGAAATCTAATTTATTAAACTTTGTAACTAATTACTTCCAACACTGCTGGTATAATGTGTAGTTTCTTGATTAACATAATGAAATAATGTCCCCTCTAATCGTTATTGGATTTTGTTATTTATTTATTTAAAAAGTAGCTGTGTAATAAGGTGGATTATGCACAGTCAGATTGTTATTATCGTAAAACAAACACATTTAGGATGATACGAGAGTCCGGATTCTCTCTGTCTGGGTTTATATTATGATAATGACTGACTAGCTGTATATTATCTTTTACTTAAGGATTATATATGAACTGTTTGAGTAGGTTTTAGGAGGACAATGTACATTGAGAAAGATTTGTTATGACGTGTTCTGTTGGTATGAAATTGACCATAGCTTGTTCCAAAATTAATCAGGCCTTGTCAAGTTTGTCTTTCTTACTAGTGGACGAACTTGGGTTATATGTAGCTACTTGTTTTAAAGCTTGATCATTCTTAAAAATCCAGTTCTGACTGGCCTTATTTCATGATTTGTTAATGAATATGAAGTTCAAAAGAACAGCATTTAGTTCAAATTAAAATCTTTTCTATATAGAGGAGATTTATGTTAACGTTTTTACAGTCAATAAATAAATTAATACTTACAAGGCACATTTTTTCCCGCTATTAATTCTGTAACTGCAAGATATAAACTCAGAATAGCCAAAAAAAAAACAACAAAAAAAAACTCATAACTTAGAGGTTAAACTGAAAATTGTGATAAAGTTGTAAGAACTTATAATTGCAAGAAGTCAACCAATTTCAAGAATCAAATTATGAGATAAAACTTGTAAGAACTTACAAAATTCCCACAAACAATGGTCTGGGAAGTAAAAACACATTCTGTCATTTGCATATAAACACAATTCTCTTCTCTCTTTTCACCCTTTAAGTTCATCATATCTCTAAGTTGCTGTAAAAAAATATCAATGCGAGAAAGAGAAGGCATGATGCCCAGACAAACAAAGGCTTTTATGATTTGTGGAAGCATAGAGGGACCAGATCCAAGACATTTTCCCTTTTCTAGCCTTCAGCAACTGCTGTAACAGTCTCTGAAATCTCCTGAGTAAACCCTGAATTCTCTCGATAACATTTATCCCTCACAAATCCATGTTTTTTTGTACCATATTGCTGCAAATGGCACATATTTCATCAATCTGCCATCACATTAGGGAAAGACACCACAGCTGAATAATGTAGAATATAAATACATGTAATTAATTAACTAGTTAACTCACCATACGATCCTTGTTTACTGATTGTTGACGGATTACATGAAGAGTTGCAAACTTTAATAAAAAAATGTTCTAAAATGTCATTATGTATGAGCATTAACCTCTGTTTAAACCTTTAAAATATAGAAGAGTAGATGTTTGATGTATGCAAGTGCTGCTGAAGTTGGAATATATGGTTCAATGTATGAGAGAAAAATGATTTAAACTCAAATTAAAACTGCATTTAAAATCTACAGACAGACATTGATAAAGTGCCTTATAAGATGGACTTTTAAATTCCTGGCCTTTGATAGCTGTTGAGCTTTTACATATCTCCGTTTTAAACGCTTGATGCTTTCACAGATTCTTAAAGGGGTTTTAATTGTATTTTATGTCCTGTTTGTGTTTTATTTTTCTGTACAGTGGTTTGGTCCACTTTGGGTGGACCACTATTTACTCTTTAAAGGTTTTGTTGAATATTAGAGAAAAGAACAATCATCAACAATAACAAATATAAAAAAGATACAATTAAAATATAAAAATAGTGTAGAACTACATAGAAAGTGAGTAATGTGTATTTATATAGTGCATTTATCATGTATGGTCATACACCCAAAATGCTTCACAATCATGAGGGGGTCACTTGGATGATACGACAGCAGCCACAAGACAACGGTGCCAATGCGCTCACCACACACCAGCTATTGGTGGAGTGGACGAGAAGTGCCATGGCATTTTTAATGACCATGGAGAGTCTGGACCTCATTTTAACGTCTCATCCAAAAGATGGCGGTCATTGACAGTATAGTGTCCTCTTCACTTTACTAGGGCATTAGGACTCACAGGCCGCAGTTTGAGTGCCCCTTGCTGGCCTCACTAACACCACTTCCAACAGCAACCTAGCTTTCCCACATGGTCTCCCATAGGTACTGACCTGGCTCAGCCCTGCTTAGCTTCAGTGAGTAACCGGTCTTGGGCTGCAGAGTGATATAGCTATGGCATCAGTTAGGAAAGGATAGAGACTAGTAAATATAAAAAAATAAAATAAGTGAGCAATATTTAGTATTGTTTCACAATTCAGACTTATTTGCAAGCCAGGCATCTTAAAAGTAGAGAAATATAAATGTACATGGTAAAGATAAATATTAGATTAATTCCAAGTGGTCTGAGAAACCCTTTAGGAAGTTTTAAAGTGCTGGTTGGTTGGTTGGTTCACACTTAAATGTGTATTTTGGATGTTGTCTTTTTATTAGTCTGAATAAATGCTACATCTAAAAATTGAGAAGTGCATGAAAAATAGTTTTCCTCTGCATCTTCTCATCTTAATGTCACCATAAATTGGGCAGATTTTACACCTGAAACGGTCATAAGATCTTACCTTTACCTCTAGAAGTGAAAATCCAAGATCTTCAACTTCTCACCTCCACCTCATTACTCTGTGCAGTCTCCATCTCTCATCAAGAGCATCCGTCTTTCCACGGATGTTTCACCCAGGCGTTCAAGGGCAGAGAATGCGAATGGTAGAAAAGGGAGACACTTTTCACCCGTTTCTCTTGTTTTATCAATCCGCTGTGAGAGATTGATGATACAGGTGCAGCTGAGAATAGTCCGGCTGCCAGTAAATCCATGTTCAATCAGCTGGAGGACAGAGAGAGAGAGAAAAAAGCAAAGAAATTGCGGATTTATGTCTAGATTTTTAATGTAACTAAAGCAAATCAGAATGCAATTGATTCATTATTTTAAAAAAAATCTCTGATTGTGATTTTGAGGGTTAATGAAATCAGTCAACTGTAATTCTGTGTTTGTGTTTTTCAGGTAAAGGCGGATGATGCAGACGGAGGCTCATTCGGGACCATCACATACTCCATTGGATCGGGGTCTGTGAGTGCTCCGCTCAGCCAGTTCTCCATCAATAAGGAGAGTGGACAGATCTGCACCAGCACGGCTCTGGATCGGGATGAAGGAGCAGACAGTTTCCACTTCACCGTCACTGCGACCGATGGGGTGAGTAAATGAGTTTGGGTGTCTGGGTTCACTGCAAGTTAAAACGTTAGTTCATTCAAAACTTCTGTTATTAATGGTTAATGTCTTTAATCCCCTGAGTCCTTCCTTCGTCTTCAGAACACAAATTAACATAAATTCTAGAGCTGCCTCATTTCCCATTGAAAGCAATGGTCCCCACTTTTTCAAAGTCTAGAAAAGTACCAAAAACATGTCCAAACAGGTGTCTTCAGTGGTTCGATTGCAGTATTATGAAGCTACTTTGTGCATACATAAAACAAAAATAGAGTATAGGCTGAGTTCATGAGAAGAGAAAAATAAATGTACATGGTAAATGTTAAAATTAGAACAACTCTGGATGGTCTAATGCTATTTCACACTAGCAGCGGCTTTGTAGCTGCCTGTCTATCTGGATGGCAATTGAAACCATTAGTAAACATTCCCACCTTGAGGTTGCTTAGGGGTCCCACTTCATATTAAGTGTCGCTTTTACCTGTGATTGTGAACTTACATGGTAAATCCTTAGAATTGGTCTACTCAATATAAAGTGTAAAATGGTCACAAAACGTACTACATTACATTACATACTTACACATCTCGTTACTATGTATGTAATGTAATGTAGTATGTTTTGTGACCATTTTACACTTTATATTGAGTAGACCGTTTCTGAGGATTTACCATGTAAGTACACTGGTATCACAAGGTGAAGCCTTCTATTGCAGCGTTAGTGCTGCCATTCTTATTCTAATACAATGTTCAGAGTACATGGTATGCAAACAGGTGTGGAAGTGGGAAACACATGCAAGTGCATATTGTTGTAACACAATGCACTTATGTAATTCTTGTTACAGATGTGTACTTTCTCAGTGTTGTTTCCAATGTCCTGTTACACATTTGACTTTACACATACTATTGAGTGGGTTGTTACATGTGTGTACATACATTGTAGTTACATACTACTTACACATCTAGTTACCATGTGAATTCACTGGTACTGTATAAGCTATACTTAATATAAAGTGAGACCAGATGGGACACTAAACATAAATTGAATCAGTACAAAAAAAATTACAAAGATAGTCAACAAAAAAGTGTGTTCTCTGTCATTTTGACTATTTGATTGATTGATTGGTTGATTGATTGATGGATTAATTGGTTGATTAGTTCATTCATTGAGTAATTGACAGGTAAAAGTGTATTACAGTGCCTAAAACTGAAAAAAAAAAAACATTTACATCTAAAAATTGAGAAGTACATGACAAAACAGTATTTTTCTCTGTAGTTTAGTGTTCTCTGTTTTTACTTTGTCATCATAAATTAACGGATTTTACACCAGTATGTCATACAGTACTATACAATCTTAACATTACAAGAAGTGAATATTTAAGATTACTTGCTCTGTTTAAAACAAAGTACAGGCGCATATGAGTTATACCTCAGTGGCACGACCGGGCACCACACTCTCCTAAACACATGCCCTATATGTCTGTACACACTGTATGCTGATAAATTGATGAACTATGATCTCAGAGGTTTGGAACAACATGAGGGTGAGTTATTAATTACATCATTTTCATTTTTGGATGAACTTACTACTGTATTTAAATGTCATTAAAAGTGTTGGTGGCTTCAAGGGGAGAATAAAAGCAAAAAATTGAGGTTAATTTAAATCACTTATACTGAAAGTTAACTGGGCCAATTTTTAAGCAATTTAATAAACAGAGAGCTTATAATTTTTAGAAAAGGCTAGCATTAATCTTTCTGTTTCATTAAACTTTTGGTGTTATGTTGCCATCTCATCAAAACTTCAAAATTGGGAATCACTTTACACAAAAGATCATAACACTTGTCACTAATTAATTAATTAGAATGATATTGAATATAGAATGATATTATTGTTAGTGTACGGTCATATGGAAAAACACTGGTCTTTAATACATTTGTAATAGGATTTACCTACATTTACTTTATTTTCCAGTTAATGCAATATAAGGGAAAAGTAAAAACCTTTTAAAACACAATGTAGAAGCACAAAGTTGAATTAAAGAAAAATATTATTTCTGTTGTATACATACTGCACCACCCATTGTAATCAGTTTTTCCTCAAACAGTTGCTAGTTACAACAATCATGAGTCCTCTAAATGAAAAGGCAATAAAGCAGCAGTGTCCCATGGGAAGACTGCTGCACATACTGTATACACACACTCGCACTGTTTCCCTTTATAAGCTGCTAGCGCTGCCTGCTTCGTTTCCCATTTCAATTATTAATGCAGCCATAAAATGTGATGAGTTAACCAACCGATTTCAATGCACACTACAACATAATATACAGAAACAATTATATCCCACTGTAAAGTACTATATTTTTCAGCATAATTACACACAGAAATCATCAAGATTGACTGGTCGGTGTCCGCAGTCCTGCTGTCATTAATGTCAGTAATGATGATCATGATAATAATATGCTGTGATATTTTCCCTCAGGGTGGCCTCTCATCCTCTGCCAGTGTGCTGGTGTCGCTGGAAGACATTAATGACAACAGGCCTTCGTTCTACCCGCTGAACTATGCGGTCAGCTTGAGCACCCAGAGCTCACCCGGGACATCTGTTATCAGAGTAACAGCCCACGACCCTGATGCCGGAGCTAACGGGAGAGTAACGTACCACACCGTGTCTGGTGGAGGATCCAGTTTCTTCACCCTCAACAAGGACACAGGTATGGCAATGAATTGTTTGTATTTTAATATTTATCTATCATAATATTGTATTTTAAAGTGACGCTGACAACAGGGGTGAGGATCCAAACGCAGGTTTATTGAGAATGGTCAGGCAAGCAACAGTCTACACAGGGACAAACAGATGTATGCAGGCAAATCCAGAGTCGTAGTCAAATACATAGGCGAAAGTCAGTATAGGTAGGAAGCAGAAAACAAACAAACAAACAAACAAACAAGGCAAGGGTCAAAAACATTCACAAAACTGTTCAACAAGACTCAGCAACATTGTGTGTGTTTGTGCTGTTTTTATAGTTCTTTTAATCAGTCTTTGAGCAGCATCAGCTGTGTGAGTCCAATCAATAGAGACTTGGAGCAGATGTGTGTGTGTGTTGCATGACAGGACTTGTAGTTCATATGAGACAGGATTATAGTCCATGTTATTGTGAATGTTCTCCAGCGATCTATGACGGTTAGATCACTGGACATCATGACAAATATATTATTACCATCTTACCATTTTTAAGGGGACCCACAGTGCATCCCAATCATATAAAAACAACAAAAGACAACAAAACAAAACATAAATTATTCTAACATTCATGAAACAACACTCAAACTCAAACAATAAATAAAAATGCACCAAGACAGCGTCTGATTAGAAACGTGAGATAAAACGAAATATACCGATCAGGGAATCAAAGCACAACATAATCAATAATAGCATCTACAAGAATAATGTACAATCCAAAGTAAAATATGATAATAAAGTTTGCTTAAACATCTTAAGTGATGTAACAGATCGAATATCAGCAGGTAAATTGTTACAGTCTACTGGACCTTTAAACATGAAACTAATTTTCTTTTTTTTTTTTGACACAAGAAACAAATAAAAATATATCCGAGCAGAATGCCTAACATGATAAGGTAAGGGAAAATATTGTTATAAATAAAAAGGATATTTAAAGTTTGAATATAAATTGAAGCCAGTGCAAGGATGAAGACAGAAATTGTCAGGGTTGGCAAGTGGGACCCAAACGCAGAATAGGCAGGAGAACACAAGGTTTATTTACAGGAGGTAAACAAGGCAACACAGAAGGACAATCCACACAATAGTGAAGGTTGGTGGTAGGAGAAAAGGCTGGTGAGGGGAGGAGACTCAGGACTTCAAGATGATACAGAGGGGAGTGTCTTATGGGGGGTGAAACAGGCTGGTCGGGAAAAAGGAAATTTCTAACTTCAGGCTAGGCAGTCAATAGGTTGCTTGCCGCACCTCCGGTTTGGGACATGGGTGGCAAACAGATGGAACATCAAATTAAGGGGATCCACAACCAGCGAAGACTCAGGAGGCAAGCGACACAACAGGACTAGACAGCTGGGGAGACAAGAAAATTAAAAAGATAAGCGAGCAAAAAACAAACTAGAACAAAAATAAGAAATATTTAGGAGGGGGAAAAATAGAGCCAGAGAAATAAAATGAAACAAATAAGGAAAATACTAATACTAAAAATTAAAACAAAAGGCCAAAAAAAAAAAGAAAAGCTATAGCTGGAGATAAAACAGAAAGCAAAACACAACAACCAGAACTAAAAAAATAAACTAACAAAAAAAAGTAGGGCCAGACTGGGATGGAGGATTACAAAAATGGCAAAATGAAAACTGGAAATTAGTCTTGAACTACAAACACAATGAAAAATGAAAATGACAGCAACCTTGCTGAAAGAAAAAAAATAAATAAACAGAATCAAAAGGATAAATTAATTCGAGATAAAGATCAAAAAGACTAGTACTAGACTAAGGCTAGACAAAAGAAACCAAACTGGACTATATAAAAAATTTCTAGCAAGCACTAAACAAGATTGACGAACCGGCAAGGGCAAGTGGAAAATGAACTCATTATAAAGGGAGTAGAGAGCACGAGGAACAGGTGAACATAATTAGACAAACAAGGACTAAACAAGGGGGTGAGACATAGGAAAACAAGGAGGCGGGACAAGGGGAGCACATGGCCAGCATAACAAAAGAGACAACCATGTGCTTATACACAAAACAAACAAAGAGACATTAAACACAGACAGGAGTGACTGGGCTGTAAGGCCTGGATCCTGACAGAAATAAACAGATTTAGCACATTGCCATTTTATTTATCAAAAGACAGTTTAATAAGACAATGTTTCTACCCACAAGGTCAATATGGACCAAAATCTCTGAGGAATATTTCCAGTACCTTGTTAAATCTTATTGCACAACGGATTAAGGCAGTTCTGAATGCAAAAGGGGGTCCAACCCTGTACTAGTAAGGTGTACCTAATAAAGTGGCCGGTGAGTGTATTTAGTATGTATAAATCTAATAACTTTTAAAAAATTTATTTAAAAAAAGTGCCACCGATCTTCAGGACTAATCAAGGTCTCTATGTCTCTGTTTCTTAGACCCATCCATTTTCTCACATTTAATATTCATATAGTCATAATTCGCCTTTTATTCCATTCTCACAATGTTTTTTCTTTCCTGGTAGGTGTTATCTCTCTGTCCCGCTCTCTGCACGGAAAGGCCAACTCCGTCATCCCCATGGTGATCTCAGCACGGGATGGAGGAGGCCTCACAGCACCTGTCAATGCCAGGGTGAACATCAGTGTTGTTGGCGGCTCAGTGGCGCCCCCAGTGTTTGAACAGGCCCAGTACTTCTTCACAGTCTCTGAAGACGTGCTGCGGGGCACAGAGGTTGGCGTAGTGAGAGCCAGCAGCAGGAATGGTGAGTTTCAGCTTTTTCCATGTGTACTCTTCTTGGAGTTACCATCATTGTCTAAAAAGGCAGTAAATAAAGTAGCCCATGTGCTGCTCTCTCTGAACCATGAATCGGTGTCTGTGAGACGGTGGAGGTGCTGAAAAAGCCTGATAGGGAATATTTTCACTCTCGCTGAGCCAGTTGTGCAAACAGAGCAGCAGCTGTGGTGTGAAGCTCATTAAACAGTCACATCCATCACAGATTCCTCTCTACCTCATGGTGCTGGAAATGATTATTTGTGGATATTTATATTTTCTCTGATAGTGCAGGGTATTTTGTTGGAATTTTAGTGTTAAAAACAATGGGGAATTCTATAGGATGTACCTGTGTATTAATTGTTTTCATGTTATGGCTGTTAACTGATAAAAGAATTGGTTTTATTGGTTCAATTGGTTTCAATTTCAATTTCAAATGGTCTTGTCAGAATTGTTTAAGAACAAGATAACTTACTTAAGGTGATTTAGGCATAATATTAATCGATTATAATGTACATTTGGAAAAGTGGAAGCTTGTTAAATAAATTCATCATTCATTCAATTTCTTTTGGGCTTAGTCCCTTTATTAAACTGGGGTCGCCACAGCGGAATGAACCTCTAACTTATCCAGTATATGTTTTATGCAGTGGATGCCCTTCTAGCTGCAACCTATATCTGGGAAACATCCATACACACTCATACACACTCATACACTACGGAAAATTTAGCCTACCCAATTCACCTGTACCGCATGTCTTTGGACTGTGGAGGAAACTGGAGCACACGGAGGAAACCCATGCAAACAAGAGAGAACATGCAAACTCAAAAATCATGCAAAACAAAAATCTTTTCCATTTGGGACATTTGAAAAATTCCTTAGTGTTTCCCCCTTTATAAGTCTAAAATTTAATTAATAATGTTCATAAAGTCTTAAATTTCACATGGTGAAACTTGGAGAAACCCTGATATTATATAATATACACATGTACATATACACAATTTTCTAATATAACTGACTGTATTAGATTAATTCTAACAAAAACAGACTGTTGACATGTTTCAGCACATTGCTGGCAAGCCTTTAAGATTATTTATCACAGTGCCAACATGTCTTATGAAGTTGCAGCCGTGTATCACATTGCTAGCATGATTCAATGCGTTGCTAACTTTTTCAATAGTATCTGAATGCAGCCTTAATGACGCAAGCTGAGATTGCATCACTCAGCGATGCAATGTCAGACACAATGCACTCAATGGAGTGAGTGACATCACTGTGACTGGTAGGGTTAGGGGTGGGGTTAGTTGAGCGCATTAAAAAGCATTGGATGCAGCTCAGATTGCTCTGCATTAGGTCTGCATCCAGACCCCTCTCAACTTTTTAGCTATATATATAATGTTTAATATATCATTAGAATTACTCAACATTGTTGCTAAAATGTGCTTAAAACATTTCTAACAAGAAATAGCATGTTGCTAATATATTTCTAAAATGTTTATAACTTGCCTGCTATTAATTAAGCTGGCATGTTTACCATATTGTTTGCTTAAATGAGTAAATACATGTTTTGGTAACACTTTACAATAAGGTTAATTAGTTAATGCATTTACTAACATGAACTAATTATGAACAACACATGTCCAGCATTTATTAATCATAATTTAAAATTTACTAATGCGTTATTAACATTCAAGTCCATGCTTGTTAACATTAGTTAATGCACCATGAGTTATCATGAACTAACAATGAACTACTGTATTTTCATTAACTAGAGTTAGCTAACATGAACAAAACAGTAGTAAATGTATTGTTCATTGTTTGTTCATCTTAGTAAATGCATTAAATAACATTAATTAATGAACCTTATTGTAAAGTGTAACCCATGTTTTAATAGTATGATAAATAGCATGTTTAAATACTTTGCTAGCAGGAATTAGCATGCTGCTAGTGTTTTTTCTAGCATGTTGCTGGAATGTTTCAAGCTTGTAAGCAGTCTGCTTTTTGTCGTGAAAAGTAGTTTTAAATTCCAAATAAAGTGTTTGAATGTTAAATTATTAAAAGCATGATTGACGACTTTCTATCTATAGGTCTCTGTCCTTGTGAAAAGTTTACAAAGTCATTTTAGATTTAAATCATATGTTAAAACCCTTCTTTCTTATCTTATGCCATTTCTCTCTCTTACCCTCTCTCGCTTCAGGAGTCTCTAAGGATGTCACCTACACTATCTCTGCTGGGGATCCAGATGGATACTTCATGGTAGATCCAGAAACTGGAGCGCTAAGGACGAGCCTTCCTCTGGACCACGAGTCACGACCCTTTTTCGACTTGGAAATTCAAGCACGCAGCGGATCACCTCCAGCTTTTGGAGACACCCGTGTTCGGGTCACCATTGCAGATGTGAACGATAATGCCCCCATATTTTTCCCGTCATCCTCTGAATCTCTGCTCTTGCCAGAAGCCACAAAAATGGGCACTATTGTGTACCGTGTACAGGCTGAAGATCGGGACTCGGGTCCTAATGGGCAACTAAGCTTCGACTTGATTTCCTCCGGAGGACAGCGCACGTTTGGTGTGGAGCGTAGCAGTGGTGAAGTCCGGTTAATTGGGAGTTTGTCGTACGATAGCGTACCTCGCTATGACCTCCAAGTTATTGCCAAAGACAGTGGTGCTCCTCAACTTAGTGCCACGTTCAGTCTAGTAGTCCACATCCAGGCGGAGAACAATCAGGGACCTGTGTTTGACACAATAACCTACCGTGTGGAGCTGAAGGAGAACACACCACTAAACACCAACTTCTTACAGGTCCGGGCACTCAATAGAGATCCCAATGGAAATGGAGGATCGTCCACACCGACTTCCACATTGGCGTACCGGCTCCGGCCTGATGGGGATGCAGTGGGTTTCGGGATTGCCCCAGACAGTGGTTGGCTGTTTGTTAAAAGTGCTTTGGATAGAGAAGTCAAGGATATCTACCTGCTGACTGTACTTGCTACTTCTGGAAGCGGGCAGATGGGGAGGACCGGTAGTGCTACAATTAGAGTTTCAGTGACGGATGAGAATGATAACGCTCCTCGCTTTTCTCAGGAGAGGGTCTTCTTGGCGGTGAGAGAGAACTTGCCTGCTGGGACTGGTTTTGGAAGGGTATCTGCTACTGATCGCGATGCTGGTCTCAACAGTCGCCTTACGTACAGATTACTTCATACTGACCGATACTTCCAAATCAATTCCCAAACAGGTGAGCTTGAACAAAGTTCAAATACTGAATGTTTTGTGAATTCAGAACATTGAGTTTGAGAATTCTGCTATAAAACACTTAGCCATAGATAAGACGTTTGAATGGAGGCTTTGAAAACTTTTGACAGCAGAAATTATTTCTGTAAAGGAAGCTATGTAATTTCATGGATGAAGACCTGTTTATTCTGCTATTTGTGAGAGAAAATGCGAAAACTATTTAAATTCTTTTTTTATTTCACTGTTAAAAGTGGGGTAAATATAAAAAGTTTTTTTTTGTCCCTGCTAACTTTAACTTTAACCCTAACCCATGCAACGGAACCTTTATGTGTCTAGTATGTTAAGCAAAATGCTAGCATGAATTAACATGTTGCAATGTGTTAACCATATGCTATCTTGCAACATTGTTAGCATTTAAATAAGACATTTATAAGTTTGTGAAACTTATAAAAATTGTGATTTCATTATAGTAAGAATGTAGCAGCCATTTTTATTTTTTGCTGTATTACCATTTGAATAAATAGTTTTGTTACAAATCCCATGGTAAAATCATGGTAAGTGTGGCAATACCATGGTTATTTTTTGGTTTAACTATGGAACTTTGGTTTTCTCATCATTTATTGTTCCTCATGTGGTTTTAAACCTTGAATTTCTATAAGTTTCTTTCTTCTGTTGAACACAACAAAGAAGATATTTTGAAGAATGTTGGTTGCTGGCACTCATTAACTTCTATAATAGGAAAAAAACTATGAAAGTCAATGGGTTCCAGCAACAATAATTTTTGAAAATGTGTTCAACAGAAGAAAGAATATCAAACAGGTCTTGAACAGGTGAAGAGTCAGTAATTGGTGGCAGAATTTTCATTTTTGGGTGAACAATCCTTTAGAAAAGTAGTGTGGTGTAGATTAGAATTTTGATTTAAAATCCTAAAAGTTTGCAGGTTTGATTCATTCATATATCATTTTTTATCCGTTAGTATTTAGTAAGTAGGTTTTGTTAAGTTTAGTTAAATTTAACAGCAGCAGCACTCAACAGCAAATGCATATCTAGACTTAGTGTCTCATTTTTGTGTGTAGGTGAAATCAGCACCAGAGCAGCTCTGGACCGCGAGCACCAGTCCAGTTATCAGCTAATGGTAGTGGTTCAGGACGGCGGTACCCCTCCACGCAGTGCCACCGGGACAGCTCACATCACAGTGCTAGATGAGAACGACAATGCACCAGCCTTCAGCCACACGCAACCTGGCAGGGAGATCCTCATTCAGGCAAGAACCAGACTGGCACAGGCCTCATTCAAAGCCCTAAATCAGTGTGTCATAACATAGGTGCTGGTGTTTATTAAAGCACAGTTTACACATCATAAAAACGTCATTACCTCCGTACATAATATCTTTCAAAAATTGTTTATGTGACCTTGGAAATGTTCCCACACTTGAAGTTGTTTGCATGGAGTGTAAGCAGCCAGACGGTGCTGTTTAAAACCTGCTTGATGTCTTCCAGGTTCAGGAGGGTCTTCCTGCTGGCTCTTTATTAGGAACTCTTAATGCCAAAGACCCAGATGAAGGAGAGAATGGCACTATTTTCTACTCTTTATCAGGTAAGGAAGAGTCTAGAAGTGTTGGGCGGTATTATTGCCAGAGGATGTTATTATAAAATGGTAAATCTGTATCATGTAAATAGTTATCTTTAGATTCTGATGTGCTTTTCTGTGGGGATACTTATATTACCATATTTGTCTATATTTATGCTTTGATTTGCCCTTGGTTTTCAAGGCTCCAGAGCGGAACGTTTCTCCTTGAACCCAAACACTGGCGAGCTGCGCTCATCTTCTCCCCTGAGGAGAGCTGAGAAAGCGGAGTATAGTTTCACCATCACAGCCTCAGACCGTGGAGCTCCTTCTCAGAGCTCTTCTGCTGTCTTACTTATACAGGTGAGACCGTTCAGGCATATTGTGACCCCTCGGTATTGCTGTTTGAAGTATATGAGGATGTCTTTTTATACTATTAACTCAAAACAAAAATGGAGAAAGTCCAAATCAAGGCTAATCGCTCAAGGTTTACCATATATTTTTAGCATTGTGCAGCTATTATAATACAGATATTTTTAATGTTCTTAGTTATGTTTTAGTTTAATTAATAACAATACAAACATTTATTTTTGTCTTTATAAGGTAACATCACCCTAAAATATGTTTTATGTTGTTTTATTTACACTAAATATTTTTTAATATAATTTATTTATTTATTTATTTATTTTAAATACAAAAACAATACAAATTAAATCTACTGGTAGACAGTAAACATAGCAACCCCAATGATAAATCGGAAAAAAAATTACAGTGAATTAATAACAAACAAATAGGGGTATTTACCAATCAAAGCAATCATAATGTTCAAATGTAATTATCAGAGTATGATCAATTGTTCCAATAAATTGCCGGCATAGCACTAATCAGTTTTAAGGAAATCCAGAAAGGTTGCCATACAGTTTGAAATTGGTGTTGAGATTTTGGTTCCAAGAAGCGTATCCTCTTGAGCTGAATGACTTGATACAATTCACCCATCCACTCACATGGAGGGTCTGAAATTTTCCAGTTTAAAAGTATGCTTTTTTTGCAAGAGTTAGGCCCATCAAAAGGGATGTTGCTGGGACTTGAAAAGTGTCTAACATCTCGGAATATTTAAGAATTTGAAGACATTGGTCCGGCTTAACCTCCTTTTGAAAAACATTTGAAGAAAAATCTAATATATATTTCCTGAATATACTAAAGGATTTTGAAAAAAAACAAACAAAAATAAAATAAACAATTTAATTACATTTAATTTATGTGCTAATATTGGAATTAATTTTTCATCTTTCTATTTTGTTTAATTCTATTTCATGTACTAATATAGAATCTTTTTCAGTTCATATTTCATAATTCATCATTTAAAAGTAATTTTTATATGCGTGAGTCAGGTCTTTTGGATTTTTAATATGTTTCTGTATATACAATTTTACTTATTTTATTTGAAATATATTTATAATATATACAGTTGATGTCAGAATTTTTAGCCCCCCTTTGAATTTTTTTTTTCTTTTTTAAATATTTCACAAATTATGTTTAACAGAGCAGGGAAATTTTCACACGATGTCTGATAATATGTTTATAATATGTAAAAAATCTTGTTTGTTTTATTTTCACTTTTTATTTTGGGCTTTTAATTTTTTAAAACTCTGATTAATGTCAAAGTTTTTTGCCCCTTTGAGCTATATATTTTTTCTATAGTCTTGAAAACAAACCATCATTATACAATAACTTGCCTAATTACCTTAACCTGCCTAGTTAACATAATTAACCTAGTTAAGCCTTTAAATGTCACCTTAAGCTGTTTAAATATGTCTTGAAAAATATCTAGTAAAATATTATTTACTGTCATCATGGCAAAGATAAAATAAATCAGTTATTAGAAATGAGTTAATAAAAGGATTGTTTAGAAATGTGTTGAACAAATCTGCTCTCCTTTAAGTAGAAGTTGGGGGAAAAAATAAACAGGGCGGCTAATAATTTAAGGGGGCTAATAATTCTGACTTCAACTGAATATATATATATATATATATATATATATATATATATATATATATATATATATATATATATATATATATATATATATATATTATGTTTGTCTGCCTGTAAAAAAATTCCCACAAAGTGCAGTTTAATCTCTCCAAACTGCTTATTGTATTTTTAGCTGGTTTTGTGAGGATTGCTTATTCGTCCAAGTCACACATCGACCCTCGATTATGATTATTTTTTTTCCTCTTAATCTGCTGAAATCCTGGATAAAAGGCCTTTGACTGTGCCAAACTGTCAACAGTCCCTTGAGCTGTGATGTCTTTACTGGAGCAGGGAAATGAGCAGTGACCCAGAGGCCTGGCTCCTGTCTATGCAAACACAAACACCTCAAAACTCCAAGCATTACTTCCTGCTTCAGAGGAACCCACCGAAACACAAAACCCTGCTTTAATCCCAACGCTCGGCATGAAACCGCACAAATTAGACATGGCGAACTGTATCTTGACAACAGGACCTTAAAGAATCCGGATTTTAAAGAGTCTGTTCACAACGAATAGTGAACTATTTTGAGTGCTTTTACAGATGTGATTTTTTTTAAATGGGTAATTGTAGAGTGTGTGGTTGCATGCATGTATGAAGAAGATAAGGGGGAGGGAGAAATATAATAAAAAATAATAAATAATAATAGAAAAAACTAAATAGTATAGATATGCTTTTCTTAAATATTGGTATGTTTAAATAAGTATTCCAAAGTTACTAGTATTCCTGGTAATAATACAAAATGCAGCTGTTTGTACACTCTCGATTGGCTAATATTGACAGTGGCTACATTTACATGGACATCAGTAATCAAATTATATGCCTTAATCTGAATTAGACAGTAATATGATTAAGGTGTTTACATGAGTTGCTTTTTGAATTTTCCTTTCATGATCCCGTTTTACATGTTAAATCATATAATTCGATTAACGTCATTGCACCACCGCGATATCCACATTGCCTATGAAAATTTTTTATGGCATTTCGGCACTTTCACTTTCATTCTGGAACATTCATGCATGCCCTAGTTACAAACGAGATATTGGATGTAACTATGAACTGCTGGAAGAGTGTTGTTTTAATGGAATTTGATACTGTACGCGGAATGTGAGGAAAAAAACCCTCTGCATTATGTGTCTGTGGTTCTTCATTGAGTATGTTTACATGGACACCAATAATCAGATTTTAATGCAATTAATACAATACTCTGATTAAGAGTCTATCATGTAAACAGCGATTTTTGATGAATTTAATTCGATTTAGTTCGATTATGACCTTAATAAGATTAAATTAATCAGGTTATTGGTGTCCATGTAAACGTACTCAATGACACATTGCTGGTAGGTCAAGAATTTGATTAGGGATGCATAATTAATCAAATGTGATTTTCATGCACATTTTGTCAGTAAAGCCGGTTCTGTAATCAGCTGTAAATCTCCAGCACCTGCTTTCATATGGAGCAGCTTTTTACTACACAGAGCCACAGTTCACTGACAAGCCACAGAAATTTCGCAGAAGATTTAATTAATGCAATTCTGAAATCAAAGATAAACATTCTGTGATTTTACAGCTCTTTGCATTACTTCTCAATGATCTACAGCTCTGTATTGCTGTTACATCTGAAAGTACATGAAAAAAACACATTGAATAACATTGGTTAGCTCCAAACTCAATTTGTAACTTCAGTTTCTGCACTATAGCACCCTCTGCTCTTTGTAGGGGATTTACTACGGATCACAGAGCCATGCTTCCCTGGCAAAAGGTGCATGACAACTGCAGCTTTTGCTAAATTGCGACTTTTATGTAATTTTTTCTACTTATTGTGCGGGCCTAGATTTATTAGAACTACAAATGTGGGAAAAATAGATAAAGTAACATCTTCAGAAGCATAATCAGTAGTAGGTGCTACTTCACCTCCAATACTTAAAAGAAATGGGGAGAATGGGACAAGATGATTGACAGGGACTGTAACTAGGCAACAGAATGGTCTGTTAATGACAAAGTACATGGTACCAAATCTTGCCCACTTGTCTGTTACATGCTCAAAAGTACTGACTTTTTCTTCTTAAAAAATGCATACTTCAAGGCGTATTATAAGTAGGCGAATTGGGACGCAGAAGGAATCAAGTGTTCCCAGATGGCTCTGATGAGGCCCAGCTGTGGTACCTTGTGATCAAACAGAAAGCTGCAAATCTCAGCTCCCTAACATGCTAGCACTAATGCTGATACGCTCGCACTGGACAACCCTGCACCATAGCAATCTCAAGATAATATTTTACATACCGTCAGTAATACCAGCTTCGTTTGAAAGTCCAGTGTACTTTGCACCAAAGAGAGAGTACAGAAATGGATCAGCGTCGATCCTTCTGTTGCTTTCCTTCTTGTGATCCGCTTGAGCTTGTATTGTTTTGTCTTTTTTTATGGGGGTATTAATATGAAAGGCTTCACCTGTCAACCATTTTCCAGCTCTACTGTACTTCAAGGACATGGGAAATGAGATCACAGGCATGTAATGTGGCAGCCTGGACCATTTAATGTTATTCTTTCTGTGTTGTTTGTTATATTGACGTCTAGAACAATGAGAACACACCCATGCACTGGGAATTAGAACAAGTTACTGTGTATTTGGCAAATGATGAAAAATAACCTTCCATTTATCCTCTATATATACAGTTAAAGTTTGCAGAATCTGCTAAATGTAATTGTTTTACCAAAAAAGATGAGGTCAATATTTGGGAAGCTCCAAACTGTTGTTCAGATGAGTCTACAGGTATGTGATTAAGCGTTTCTGGAATGTTATGTATTTGGCAACAGTTCTTTTAACCCTAATTGATTCAATGTGTAGCTTTCATTTCTTTAAAAAAAAAGTCATGTTGCATAGTCATATTCCAGGAAGACAATTTCAAGATGCACCGGGGTAAAAACAGTTTCACAAAATGAATGTCCCAAAGTCTTTAGATTTACAGAGCCCCTATTTTGCATTAAAAAAGGTCATATTTTGGTTGAAGGGGTCTCCAACAGCATGCTGATATGCGTGCATGGTCAAAAAACACATTCATTGTCTTTTAATATGCATTTATTTTTACCTAATTATCCCAGCGACTCCCATATGAATTGTTTAGCGATTTATTTGTTCCCAAACCCCTCTTTAACATAAAGTAAATCTGTGGTTATTGGTCCGATGACCCAGTCTGTTGCGAATGGTCGACTGCGTTCAGCATAGAGACAGAGACAAATGGCCACCACTGTCACACCTGTTGCAGTGCCCTAGTTTGGACACTTGAGGGCACAAGTTTGTTTTGTAGTTTTACTTCATTTCCCATAATCCTTTGTATTACTGATTGTTATGTTACAGCTGTTTCGTGTTTGTTAATTTAGTCCTGTCTTTATAAACCCTCTTGTTCTCTGTTTTAGTGGCCTTAGGATTATGTCACGAATGGGGGAGAATCACACAAAATGCAAAAATCCAAGTGCAGCAATTTATTAACAAAAAGACAAAGGTATCCAAAAAGACAGATTTCCAAGAGACAAAGGTTTCCAAATCTTGCACAGAACTATAAGCAAGATGCAAAAACTAGATGACCAGACGAAGGAACTGGTGAAAATCCAAAAACGGGTAAATACAAGGACAGGGTAGGAGTGCTAACAAGTGCTAACCAAAACGAACACAAAACAGGAATCCAAGAATTATCAAAATACAAAAACTAGATGACCAGACAAACATACCAGACGTAAGGAGCTAACAAAATCCTAAGGCAACTAAAACAGAGAACAAGAGGGTTTATAAAGACAGAACTAAATTAACAAACACGAAACAGCTGTAACATAACACAATCAGTAATACAAAGAATTATGGGAAATGAAGTGAAACTACAAAACAAACTAGTGCCCTCAAGTGTCCAAACTTGGGCACTGCAACAGGTGTGACAACCATGGCTACAGTATGAAGAAGCACAAAGTATGTGAGAGCCCAATGCAGGAATGCAATAAAGCAGTGCAGTTAAACACCAGCATATTACTCTACTCTTAACCCTAACCCCAAATAATAACAATGACACAAATTCAGTATTAATCCACACAGTGGCAAAAGTTGTGTAGGAATAGCTAATGGTGACCATAGCAAAGGCAAACAGCTGAGGATCGCCAGTTCAGAAATGCATTTAAATCGGTAAAGGAAGAAGCACGCGTCACGTTTTTGTGTGCACATTTTACCGGAACTGGAACTACATATTTGGTGATATCGACATTGATGCGATCAAACAAAAGATCCGAACCCAACTCAATTCATTTATTCAACTCCTAGTCGACTATTTTGCTAAAGAATCAATAGTTTTAAACACGGTTCACTTTTAGATTTAAACCTCACCTGGATGTTTTCATTCACTTAGTGCTGTGTTACACAATGCATGGAAGGTCATTTTCAAAAACCTATAAAAGGGGCTCTTTAATTATGTTGTAAATTTGTCAGAATTGTTACTTCAACCTTGTGCAACTGCATTCATGTTTGGCCCAGATCTTGCATTTAAACAGCCAGTTAATTTAATTCCTTCTCAATGTGCTTTGTTTTAATCTGTAGGTCATTGGCTCCACAAGAATTTCTCCAAAGCCCAACACCCTATCCATGACCCTTAACTCAGTGGAGGGAGCCAAACCAGGCTCTGTTATCGGCTCGGTTAGAGCACATGACCAACGTGAAGTGACCTTAAACGGTCAGGTGACCTACTTAGTAGTCGGCGGCACAGACCACGAAGGAACCTTTATGGTTGACCGTCTGACAGGAGATGTTTACTTGGCTAGAGAGCTGGACTATGAAAAAGGGTCACGGTACACCCTACAGATCGAGGTGGATGATTTCTCCAAGGCCTATCCGAACACTCACATGATTCAGTTGGAAATCAACGTACAGGATAGTAATGATCACGCACCACAGTTTCCAGAAGACCCAGTCACTATTGTTATTCCTGAAAACACACAAGCTGGATCTTCTGTTTACACCTTCCAAGCGACTGATAAAGATGGCAGTGGGCCGAACAGCGAGATTCGTTATTCTGTCCAACAGCGGTGGCCTGATAACCCAGATCTCTTCAATCTTGATCCAGTAACAGGAGTGTTGAAGCTAGGCCGTGAACTAGACCACGAGGAGACATCCAGTCTGTTCCTGGTGGTCCAAGCCATGGATTCTGCATTGGATCCCAATCAGAGGCTTTGGGGCTCGGTGACGGCACGAGTGTTTGTGACAGATGAAAATGACAATGCTCCGATATTCAGCTCTCCGACTGCTGTTAGCGTGATGGAGGATCAACCGGTAGGCTTTGTGCTGCTGTATGTCATGGCCTGGGACGCAGACCAGGGTGAAAACGGACGGGTGTCCTACAGAATCCAGTCAGGAAACACAGCGGGACGGTTTGTTCTCAGCTCGAACAGTGGTAAGAATCATTACTTCGCTCTATTTAAAAAAACATCTCCTTCTCACACCACGCTGCTTTATGAACCGTTCGCTCAAAGCCTGAAGTAATTTAGCAGAACGGATCATTTTCTTGAAGGGTTTATTCGTGGGAGCCCAGTATTATTTTGGCCCGTCGACCGCACCTCTTTGATTTGGCCTTGGAAATATTCATGTATTAGACTGAAATTCCTCCCATCATCCAAGAATACGACCATTTACAGCTCACGCGAAATTAGATTAAATAGACAAAGTCGTCTAAACGACTCAGCAGCTGTGGACGATTTTCCTTCCATTATTGTCAAATGGTTTATGATGGTTAGCGTTTCTGGTGCTAAATCAGGCATATTCTATGCACTATAATATATATTAGAGCACAGGACAGTCACATTTGATATTAGCCAGATGCTCAGGAGAGACTCTTCACACTCTTTAACATCTAGGTGTACGTTAAGCACAAAAGCAGAGCTACCGTTTAGAAAAACAGGAATCAGCTCAAACATCTCAATGATGTGTTTAAAGCTAGAGTGTGTTTGGTGGACTGTAAATAAAAAAAGAGGCCGCACACAGACTTTCTTACAAACACACAATAATGTTTCTCTGTCAGCGAGAAGTATGGACCGCAGCGGTGTGTTTATCCGGAGTGACCCTCGCTCGGGGTCTTGCTGATGACAGCATTGCAGGGAGGTATAGCTGGAAAGGTTCAAAAATGGATCCGTGACAACTAATTTCTTCCCTGGTTTTCATACCAGCAAGTCAGCAAAAAGCTGCATTCTCAAGTTGCGTATAGAGAGTGGAGGAGGTAAACTGAAGAGAAAAACAGAGGACAGATGTATCAAAAATGAAATGTACCTATGGATATTGTGTTTGACTTCGGGTGTTTGAGCAATTTTCTGTTAACATCTTTTATAATAAATAATAATGATCACAACAGCTTATTATAGTTCATTTATTTCATTTTATCTTATATTAATTAACTTTACATTTATTTTATTTTATTACTTTATTTTATTTTATTATTTTTTAATTTAATAAAATTTTATTTTACTTTTTATGTATTTATTCTTTTATATTTTGAAAATTTATTTTATTTTATATTTTATTTTACTTTTTATTTTATTTTATTATTTTATTTTATTATTTTTAACATTTATATTATTTTATATTGAATTTTACTTTATTTTATTTTATTTTATATTTTATTTTATATTTTATTTTATTTTACTTTATTTTTATTTTTATTTTATTTTATTTTTTATATATTTTTATTATTATTTTACTTTTTATTTTATTTTACTTTGTGTTATATTTTACTTTTTACTTTAAATAACTTTTTATTTTATTTTACTTTTTATTTATTTATTTATTATATTTTACTCTTTATTTTACTTTACTTTTTATTTTATTTTACTTTTTATTTCACTGTTATTTCATATTTTATTTTACTTTATTTTACTTTTTCCTTTTTGTTTTACTTTTTTTATTTCATTTTTATTATTTTATTTTACTCTTTATTTTATTTTACTTTTTACTTTATTTATTTTCTTCCATTTTTCATTGTTTTGTTTTAGATTTGTTTTTAATTTTAAAATTGTTTTTTATTTTAGATTTGTTTTTTGTTTTACTTTATTTAATTTTATTTTGCACTGACCAGAAGGTACAAATTGCCAAATCCTAAATTAACATGCCAAACTTCTCTGTGCAACACCATGATTTTTTTGCACATGCAGTGTGGTAATACAAGAATATGAGTCAGTATTATTCTGTGTACTTTACCACAATATTTCAGTCTGCAACTTTAATTTTCCTTAAGAATAATTCTTGGTTGTGATGGGCTACATTAAGTCATTAATTTGATCTTTTAAACAGAGTTTGCCATGTGCAAGATGAAATATTACAAATATGCATAGTAAAAATACAGAGAACTCTCTAACCTCGGCCGCAGGGCAAATGATTACCGTAGCAGATCTACAGATGTTTTTGTCTTCTTCTCTTCTCCAGGTTCTCTCTCCATCCTCAAACCTCTGGATCGCGAGGAGCAGGAGAGCTACAATCTCACTATTGTTGCAGAGGATCATGGGATACCCCAGCATTCCACCACTCAGGTGCTGTCCATCCAGGTGATTGACGTAAATGATGAAGCTCCATGGTTTGAACGAAATGAGTTTGAAGCCCAAATCAGGGAAAACCAGCCTGCAGGGACAAGCATCATTCAGGTCACCGCTTCAGATCGAGATCATGGTGAGTGTCAATCTATGTCTTTCTAAACGTAGATTTCAGAAACCCTTGCTATTAGTGACATCGGTGGCCATTATGTAAACTGCAGACAAAAATGTTTTGAGTGTCTTCGCATCTATGCACATGTATTATGCCCAGGAGTTAGATTTTTTTTTCATTTGATTTAAAAATATATATTTTTCATTAAATATAAAATAATATAATATCATCTAATATAATATATTACCCAGAGATGGAAGGGCATCCGCTGCGTAAAAACTTGCTGGATAAGTTGGCGGTTCATTCCGCTGTGGCAACCCTGGATTAATAAAGGGATTAAGTCGACAAGAAAATGAATGAATAATATATAATAATATAATATAATATAATATAATATAATATAATATAATATAATATAATATAATATAATATAATATACTATAATATAATATAATATAAACATTTTGGGTATAATTTACCAAAACTTATGGAGTAGATTTTATCTAAAACTAATAAATTGAAATTGTGGTTTGACGTAAACAAATTGTCATTAAATATAAGTAAAACAACATTATTGTTATTTGGAAAATTAAAAAGTAGTCATAAGATAGATTTAAAAATTAAAAATGAAGTTATAGAAAGAGTATATACAATTAAGTTTCTTGGTGTTGTATTGGATCATAAAATTAGTTGGAATCCGCAAAAAAAAAAAAAAAAAAAAAAAAAGTGATATCAAAATTAGTTAAAACTGTAGAAATAGTGATTAAAGCAAGATTTATACTGGACAATAAACCAATGTATGTATTATATAACAAACTTATGTTGCCATATATGAGTTATTGTGGTGAAATTTGGGAAAAACATATACAGTCGAAGTCAGAATTATAAGCCACCCACTAAATTTTTCTTCTTTTTTTTTTTAAATATTTCCCAGATGATGTTTAAAAGCAAGGATATTTTCACAGTATGTCTGATAATATTTTTTCTTCTGCAGAAAGTTGTATTTGTTCTATTTTAGCAAGAATAAAAGCAGTTTTTAATTTTTAAGTTTAAGTTCAATATTTTTAGTCCCTTTAATTAATAATTCTGACTTATACTGTTTAAATAAATGAAATAGCAAATTCGACATTATCTTAAATATTGAGATATAAACTTGAGCATATGACAAATTAATAAAATATGAAAAAATGTTGAATCTTTTAGATAAAGATCGATTTGTTTTATATAAAATTGGTCATCAATTAAAGAGATTTTAAAATCTTTTTTTACAGTGGCTGTATTTACACGGACATCAGTAATCAAATAACTTGCCTTAATCTGAATAAGAAAATAATATGATTAAGGTGTTTACATGAGTTGATTTTTGAATGTTCATGTCATGATCCCGTTTTACATGTTATAGCACATCATTCGATTAACATCATCATGCCACGCTTTATCCACATTTCCTCTGGAAAATTCTTTCCAGAAATTTCATCTTGTTTGTCACGAGGGACATGCATAAAATGTTCCTGAATGAAACTGAGAGTGCTAAACTGCAGTTAAACATCATTGCATCACCAAACTATCCACATTTCCTCCAGAGTTTATTTTTAATTTGTTGACAAATTAATAATTTGTCAACAACTTTTCATTTTGTAATAAATATTTTGTGATAAATAAAATGTTTTAAATTGTAGTAAATTTTTATTTGTCAGCAAGAAATGCAGCCATGAACTGTTGGAAAAGTGTTGTTTTAATGGAATTTGATAATGCATGCCTTATGGAAAAAAACCTCTGCATTATGCAGTGTGTGTGTCTGTGGTCTTACTGACTTGGTAGGTGCAGAAAATAGTGTCAAACAGCCATATGTGTACGGAAAATTCTGTCGCAAAATGCAGCAAAAATCCTACACGATGGTAAATAGTTTGATTGCGGTGTTTACATGTCTGTGCTGCACTTCAGTAATGCCATTAAAACCTGCATACTCCACATGTCTTAATCTGATTTCTGTTTAGTTCGACTATGATCTTAATAGAATTAAATGAATCAAAAACCAATGTTTGCATGATAGACTCCTAATCAGAGTATTGTCTTAATCGCATTAAAATCAGATCATTGGTGTCCATGTAAATATACTCATTGATAACGTTTATTCATCGCATTGGAAATGGCAGCTGAAGTCGAGTGCATTGCATTGTAGGACTGTCACAGGTGTTTTGTTGTATGTACAATTTGGGAAACGTATTATATCATGCAGAAAATCATCAGATTGAGCAAAGTAAATCATCTGCAGAAAAAAAAAGTAGTAGTAAAAGCATTGTCCAACCATACTATTCCAAACACTGTGCACTAAATCAACCAAGGCCTCTTTCCTTCCATTCTGAGTTAGAAGGCCAACAGGAAGTGAACAAGCTGATTTGAATTAACAGAAGTACAGTGTCGTAAAATATTCAGGTTCAGTCCTTTTCATCTTGGTTTTAACAGTGGTTTCATTAGTAGCTGGTTTTTCTGATTCAGCCTCGGAGTCGTGGTCTGCACAAGTGTTAAGTGTGGACCAAAGACATACGGATGCCAGATTGCGTGCAAAGTCAGCGAGCTTTGGCACGAGCACCTGCTTACTCAATTAAAGCTTCCTGAAGAATGTCTTTACAGTCTCTCTTTCATACTCTCTCGCTGAGCCCAAGGGCCTGAGAACGAGTCCCACATACCATCTACAGGAAGCGTTAAAAAATAAAAAAACACTGCCCTCACCCCAACACAACACAACTGCAGCTTTAAACAGATGGAGGAAGTTTTCAGACACAGGTCGTCAATTTCGAAAAGCTTGGAATAGCTTGATTCGTTTCAGTAGTAAACACATTTAAAAGGTCTGTATGTCTGAATTATTAAGTGTTGTTTCTTTGTACTTCAAGGTGGAAAGGCATTTTTTTTTGCTGAATTCAGTTGGTGGTGATCTGGTATTTCATTTTTAACTGAATTATTTGTTTTCATTTTTTTTGCAGGAACTAATGGCTTGGTCACATACGGTGGTGTGACTGAGGATGGATTCACTATTAACGCAGAGACGGGTGTGATATCAGCCACTCGGGTTCTAGATAGGGAACTTCAGGACCACTACACTATAACAGGTACCGTAGCACTGCCAGGATCTGCTCATAATAAGACTAAACCATTTAGCATGATTTAAGATGTTTAAATTTTAGCATTAGGTACTTTTTTATTTGTCACGATTACCAGCAATCCAGCCTGTGCAGATCACACAGTATTGCATAGAACTACAAATCCGCCATTAAATGGACTACAAGATCCAGTCATGCAGACAAACACAGCTGAAGCTACTCATGAACTGATTACTAGAATTATTTATGCAGCACACACTGCTTATTGTATAGTATTGTGAACATTATGACACGTTTTCTTTGCCTTTAACTTGTTTTTGACCCTCGCTTTTTTTTGTTTGTTTGTTTACTTCTGTCTGCTGCCTCCCTTTTGACCATCTGCCTGTGTATTCAACTACGACTGCATTTGCCTACATACATCTGTTTGCTCCTGATCGTGATCGTTGCGTGCCTGACCATCTATGTATAATAAGCTAGTTATGTGACGTTGTGCACCGAGGCTTCAAAGAATTTATCGAAAAGACGATACATCTCTCTGTGAAGCAGTGTACCGGAGCTTGATTCGTTTTGCCATCATCACATGATCAGTGAAGTCCAAAGCTTCATTTTCGCCTATACCCACGTGACTGCTTTGATTTTTGATTCAATGGTTTAAACACCCTCATGGTGTTTAAATTACATTACATTTTTACTGTTTTAAAAAAAGCACTGCACCAGTCAAACACACCAGTAATTAAACTAAAATACAATAGTTATTTATAGTAAAAAGGTATTAAACCATACTAAAATGTGTTAGTGTGTTTTTTTACAACTATTTTTAATGAAAACTACTGCATATCATAGTATAGCGTTTAACGGATGGCAACTGGCGAGTGCAGCACAAAACCATCACTCTCATAGCCTCCTCCTTAGAGCATTTGCCTCCTATGCAGGAATCGCCGGTTTGATCCCCGCTTGGAACAAGTGGGTGGGTGGATTAAGCAGTAGTTGGAATACGATGAATGTAAATACTTTTGAATACCTTGGATTTTACTGTAGTCATCAGCGAAAATCAGAATGTTGTGTAGTTTATGAAATAAATAAAATCCTGCTAGATTTGTAATCACGCTGCTTTGTTTACTGCAGTAACCACGGCAGCATCATTATTTCTGCAATTCTATAGGCGCCAACCTGCTGAATTAGTTTAGATTAGTTTTTTACATTAATGTTTAGCATATATACTGTACTGTAAGTTACAATCTCATTAGTGTTTCTGGTTGAAATCTAAAGTGGTTTTAAGGTCTCAAATAGTATGGAAAGAATCTTAAAAAATGGTCTTAAAAGGTATTGAATTTCACTTTCTGATTCCTGTATATACTCTGTATAGGCTTAAATGGATATTTAAATGTCTATATACTTTATCATATAAACATATACATCTAAATATAAATAAACATTTTCTTAAACATAAGAATGCATGTGTGTATTTATATATAATCACGATGTATTTTTGCTCAGCCCTAGTTTTTTTTTTTTTTTTTTTTGTCTAAAATGTATATATTATTTAAATCAATCTGTACTGAAGTTACACAAAGCATAAGTAGCAATAGTTTTAGTAATGGTTTGGTTTAAAATTATATTATTGCCAAAACATTTTATGAATTAAATTTTAGATATGGTTTTTAAAAGCTAAAAGTAAACTTAATAATCCTCCTCTTATTTTGTGTTTGTTACAAGTGTATGCAAAAGATGGAGGAATCCCCCCTAACTTTGCTAAGGCTAAAGTGCACATCACAGTGCTGGATGAGAATGACAATGCTCCTGCTTTCGGACTGCAGCAGTACAGTCTAGAAGTGCCTGAAAACCTACAGCCTGTGGAGCTGTTCACCCTCAAAGCCACAGACCGGGACATTGGAGAGAGTGGGCGACTGGAATATAAGATCAAAGGTAACACCTCAGATTTTGAGTTTGTTTTAAATTTAGTGATAATACATTAAAATGATTTTTTTTAAAATGTAAAACTGGCTTTAATTCTGGTTGATATAAAACCAATAAAACTTTCTCCAGAAAAAAAAAATATTATCAGACATACTGTGAAAAAAAGTTTTTGGTTCTGTTAAACATCAATTGGGAAATATTTAAAAAAAGAAAAACATTCACAGGAGGGCTAATAAATTTAACTTCAACTGTATGTGGAGTGCCTGTATCTGTGCATATTTCAAATGAAGCATACTGTACTTTGAAAGACTTTGTGCCTATGCTAACATACTTATCAAAAATTAAAGTAAACTTGATCTTGAGTCTGCAGGTTAAAACATTTTATCCATGATTTAAGGTGCTTTTTTTTTCCAGATTCAGATCTTAAGAAAAGTAGATGCATTTGATCTGGTTGTTTACAAATCCTGTCTTCATGTGCTTGCTATTCTAGCCGGCGACCCAGATGGAGACTTTCGGCTTGACGGTTCCTCTGGAGCTTTGTCTACCTCAAGACCACTAGACCGAGAGCGGAAGAGCAGTTATTCCTTGCAAGTGGTGGTCCAAGATCATGGCAGCCCCTCTCTGAACAGCACAGCCTCTGTGGAGATCTCAGTCCTCGATGTCAACGACAACAGCCCCAAGTTCAGCAGCAGCAGCTACACTGTAGATGTCTCAGAAGACGCTGCTATAGGTTTAGTGGTGCTGGATGCGACAGCCACAGATGTTGACGAGGGCCAAAACGGTCAGATTTTATACTTTCTCAGCCAAGAAGCCAAAGGTGCGTTCACTGTCGATCCTAACACAGGACGCATCACTACCGCTGCACTTCTGGACAGAGAGAAAAGGGCTTCTTACTTCTTTCAAGTGTATGCGGTTGATCTATCTCCTGCTGCACCACGCAACTCCACAGCCCAGGTAACCGTTACCATCCTGGACGTCAATGACAATGCACCGTTCTTCATCCAGGACCCTCTCATTATCAACGTGTCCAGTGGAAGTGTGTTCACCCATCAAGTGGTGGCCACAATGAGAGCAGAAGATAAGGATTTTGGTGCCAATGGTTCAGTGTTCTACCGATTTGCCATGCCAGTCCGAGGATTTGCGATTAACTCACTGACTGGGGCGATCCAGACTACGGAGAACCTCCAGACTCTGACACAAACCCAGCGCACCCTCATTGTGGAGGCTATGGACCAGGGCAGCCCCCCTCAGTCTTCTCTAGGGGTGGTGATCATATATGTGAAGGAGCAAGATTACAAGGGCATTCGATTCTCACGCACCGCTAGAGATGTTAGCTTACAGGAGAACGCAGATAAAGGTAAGTTGGCATCCTAAAGTAAAAGATTACAGAAAAAATTGTGCATTATTAGACTAGATTTTTATTGTTGCAAAAAGCCAGAATAGGCGACATAGTGGCTCAGAGGTTTGCAATGTTCTCACAGCAAGAAGGTCACTGGTTTGAGTCCCAGTTGGGGCAGTTGGTATTTCTGCAGTGCTTAATTTGTGAATTGCAAGGTCCAGGAACAGATCGGGGTAACAGATCAGGCATGATAAAGGGGTGTGTAAGGCAGAGGAGTGTCGCAGACGAAAGTGAAGAGCGGGGGGTTGTCTCGGACAACAGCGGGTTGGGGAGTCGCAGAAGAAAGTGAAAGTGGACGGGGGAGGAGGGTGATTTAGAAGGGGGATCGGTAAAATGAGGTGCCGGATCAGATTTCAGAGGTTCCAGATCTGGCATGTTCCGGCACAAATTAAGCTCTGCATTTCTGTTTGGAGTTTAAATGTTCTCCCTGTGTTCACTTGGGTTTCCTCCCGGTGCTCCCGTTTCCCCCATTTGCTAAGTGAATTGGGTAAACAAAATTTCCCATAGTGTATGAGCGAGTGTGTGTGAATGTAAGAGTGTATGGATGTTTCCCAGTACTAGGTTTTGGCTAGAAGGGCATCCACTACGTAAAACATAAAGTTGGCGGTTCATTCCACTGTGGCGATCCCTGATAAATAAGGGACTAAACTGAAGGAAAATCAATGAATGAATGATTGAAAAGCTAGAATGATTTATTTGCCACCAATTTAATGGAAAAAAAAGGAATAAAAAAAATTAAGATTGATTGATACTTCTAGGCCCCGTTTACACTGCCAGTTAAATGCAACCCAATTCCAATTTTTTGCTCATAAGTGATACAGATCAGATCTGTTCTATGACCGTGTAAACATGAAAAAAAAAACGCATACATTCGGATATTCAGATAATCGTTTCAGGCCTCCTTCATATGGGGAAATAAATCAGATATAAATGGGAAATGTGACAATGCTACTATCATGTAAACAGGCAGATCGGATTTATTGAGGCATTCCGTTTTGCACGTTATTAAACCTGCCACAATGTGGTACTTCTCCCCGTTTTAATGAAGGAAAAGCATGTGTGGAGACGCAGACACGGTAAACAACAACATCAGAGGAAACACAGAGGAGGAAAGTGGTCAGTCGCCACAATTTGCTTCCACCAGACCTGAGATCTTTCTCGTACCCACAAATTCCTCTGAATGGTGGAGGACACCATATATACACCATAGGTCCAAGCTGCGATGATGGCCCTCTCCTTCCTCCTTCCCCTCAAAATAATTGAACTTTGCATATTTCGCAGATCTAAAAGTAAGACAATTTCTTCCATCGTGGCTAGTGTGGCACAGATGATAGAACCCACCTTTACGTATGCCATACAATTATAGAATGAATCGGATATGGGTCACAATTAAAAGAATGTGTAAATGAACAGGCAAGAAAAATCAGATATAGGGAACAAATCGGAATTGGGCATCAACACCTGACAGTGTAAACGGGGCCCTAGTGATATTGTGCAATACTTTTTGCAGGTTATTCTAAAATTAAAGAAAATTCTTCAGATTTTTTTGGTAGAATTTTTTTATTTATTTATTTATTTTTTTGCTGACATTGTATCACACAGCCATGAATACTTAAGACGGGGGACTGTGGAATAATTATTTTAGGCTACTATTTTAAGTAGATGTTTTAATAAATACATTAAATTAGTTCTGGTTAACAATGAACTACTAAGGATACTAATGGTATGATACTAATGATGCTATGATACTACTTTGATACTAATCATAGCTCAAATAGCAAAATATAGATCTGCCTAAAGAATTTTCTCTGGGACACATAAATATGCTTGTTTTAAACGATCCTGTCAGATGGATAATATTCAGCGTCTTCAAGTTTTTTCTATTTATAATATTTTATTACAAGCAAATAAATCTTTCTCTATTTTTATTGTGATCCACTATGAAGGTTTTTAGTCAATTTTTTCTCATTTTATTGTGAATTATTGTCAATGACGAAAAAGGCGTTTGATTCTGATGGATTAGGATGTTAAAATTGCTTGATTTGAATATAAATGTATTCCCAATCAATTACTATTTAAAATATTATATTTCACTCAGAAAACCCTCCAAACAAATCACACTAAAAGGCACAGCAAATTCCACTTTGTGTTGGCCTTCACTGCAAACAAGTATCCACTTTCATGAAATAACATGGATAAATCCTTTTTCTTACAGAAAATACAGTAAATTGAAAAAGTATACAAAGCCCTGTTTTCAGTCTTTTATTTTAAATCCTACACTAAAAGCTATTCTTTGTGGTGTCTTCATTTCAAAGTATTGGCATGAGGTGGCTTTGCAATGAACTGTATGATGAAAACTGCAGCCTATTATTTCAGCACTCACAGGCACATTGGGTTTTATAAAGCACTGAAAGCCAATCCATCAGTTTAAGTAAGTGTGGCAGAGAAGTATCGAACATTTTTGTGTTTTGTTTTGTTTTCCTACAGGAACTGTGGTCGCTCAAGCTCAGGCTCAGCACCCGGACGGCACCCGCGACGGCATCAATTACAGCATCTTTAGTGGCAACAAGTACCATTCTTTCAGCATCAGCTCCAATACAGGTCAGTTGGGAAATTCGTGAAATGTGAAAATAGTTTGACAAAATGACATCAGAAAACTGAAAACCAAGAATTGTTGGTTCTTTCAAAGGTGAGATCTGGGTACAGAGCTCTAATGGCCTGGACTTTGAGGACACGCCAAGACTTCGACTAGTGGTGAAGGCTGAAACTACATCCTCAAGCTCCTTCATGGCTGTCAACCTTATCCTTCAGGATGTCAATGATAATCGCCCCCGATTCCAGCTGCAGAACTATGTGACTTATATGCATGAAGCACAGGGTTATGACTTCCCCATCATTCAGGCAAGGGGTCTCATTTTTTGGTACTTTAACCTATTAAAGCCCAAGGTGTTTTTACATGCATTTTTTTATTTCTCTTTGCTATCTGGGCTTATTGGAACCTAATTAGAATAAAAACTTAAGTATTATCTTTGATATGATGTATTTTTAGAGAAAAAGGATGTCCATATATGTGGACTCTTGGTCCGAATTTTTTATAAAACACTTTTTCCTGACTGTTTTGTAATGCATTAATAACACATACATATTTTTTGAACATGTTTTGACTATCAGAGAGTAAAAACAACATTTTCTGCCCATTTTGGACAGTTAAAAATAGGGGTTGGAACATTTCATATGCTTCAAAATGAACAATGCACAATGAAACTGTATATCTGTAACAAAGTATAAAACATTCAAGTATTAAAGTATTTTAAATAGCTACTTAAAAGCTAAAATGTGTTGTCCACATACAGTATGTGGCCACTAAGCCCTAAGAAGCTAAAGGGGTTGTTCACCTAAAAACAACACTTGGTTGCTGAAAGTTTTTTTTTTTTTTTTTTTTTAATTCCACAGAAGAAACTCAAATCAGGTGAACTTTTCCTTTAAGAAGGTCAAATTTATTTTGAAAACATCCAAAATCAAACAATAAGTGCTCAGGGGTAGCTTAAATAATGTGTCTGTGGTCTTTGTGTAAGGGATTCATCAGAATAAACAGCAAAAATCAGTCCAAGGCACTCCAAAAATGTGAAAAAATTATATTTAAAAGCCTTTATTGACATGGCTATTTCTTAAAACTGCGTCTACGTATTTCGGCAAACAACTCCCTTCATCAGGGCAACAGTGAGGAATAGCCATGTCAATAAAGGGACTGATTTTTGCTGTTAATTGAAAACATATTTAAATGTTCGTTTTGGACCCTGCCTGTGCTTAAATTCACCTTTTCACATGCATTAGGTTGTGGCAGAGGATGTTGACCAGGGTCAGAATGGACAGGTGACTTACACCATCGAGTCTTCAAATCAAAGTGGCCTTTTCAAAATTGATCCTCAGACGGGCAGCATCACAACCACAGCCATTATGGACAGGGAAATCTGGACACAGGCAAAGTGAGTGTATATCATGTTCGGCCAGTGAAGTCATTTCTCTGTAGGTCTTTAATTTCCTTCAGTTCTGTGAAATGTAACTGTCCACTCCAGCATTGTTTAGTTTGTGTGTGATGTTTTCAAGCCCTCGTAGTTCTACCTCATGTGTTTTGATTCTACAATGTTCCCTGACTTGTATAAAGCTGTGTGCTTTTAATTTACTACATTTTAGGTCTGTTAGTGCTTTTGGGTTGTTGTGTGAATGCTTTTTTTTTTTTTTGGAAAATAGAACAGATTCTTTTGTTCGTTCACTTAATCCTGAAAAGCATTTGAACAGAGACTTGAAATATGTTAGGAAAAAATGATCTAACTCCTCATTTATTTCCTCAGGCTGGTGATAAAAGCTACTGATCGTGGTAGCCCTAAGCTAGTAGGCACTGCCACCATCACAGTGATTATCGTCGACCTCAATGACAACAGTCCCACCATTCCAGTGCCAAGGGAAGTTAGAGTGCCAGAAAGTAAGTGAACTAACTTTGAAAGACACAATATCAATCACTTTTATTGCTGTACATGTATCTGAGTGTTGTGTTCCTACTTTTCTTCTTCCAGACTCTCTTATCGGCACTGAGATCACCCTGGTTACTGGAAATGATGTGGATTCTGGCCCAGTGTTGTCTTACTCTTTGCAGCTGGACGCTTCAACACAAGGAAAATTCGATATTGATCGTTACAACGGCCGTGTGTCTCTGACAGCTCCTTTGGACTATGAGGAAAGGACATGGTACAAGTTGACTATTCGAGCTTCAGATTCCAAGCACCAGAGTGAAGCCAATTTGACCGTGGTGGTGGAGGATGTAAATGATAACGTACCTACTTTTACACAAGATCTATATCAGGTGATAATTCTTTCTACCTTTTAAAATGTTGTAAAACGAATGATGAAATGTAATTGTATTGGGACCGACAAAGGTTTGTCAGATGGTTTCCCGTCTTCAGTATTATTGTAAAAAGTAGTCTGTTTGAGCAAAAAGGATTTGATTTTCATGGATTGTCATGGTTAAATAACTTAATTCAATCATAGGTTTATCCTACATTAAATATATGTGCACTCATTTACGCCATTAAAGGGTGTGCTGCCATTTACACTTGTGTTTATTCATTTAGCAGATGCTTTTATTCAAAATGACATCACTGTGGATACAGGAAAAAGCATGCCAAGTAACGGCTTTGTTGTTGCATTTGGTTTCCAGGTAACACTTCCAGAACATTCTCCACCAGGCAGTCCTGTTATCACAGTAACAGCAACAGATCGAGATTCGGGAGAAAATGGAAAGGTCTCTTATCGAGTGTTGTCTTCAACGCGGGATGGGTTTTACGTTGACCCTAAAAATGGTATAAGCCCAACCATTATACTAAACATCCTGATTGTTTTGGCAGTGGCTTTTTACACAGTTTTAAAGGAATGTAAATACTACTTATATGAAGTGTAAATAGTGGTAGATAAATATGCACCAATTAAAAAGAAAAAAATTGCATGTTAATAATAATAAGAGCACTTGGTTGTAAATGCTATTTACTGTGGTGTATGTGGTGGGTGGATTTTATAAAAACAGCCTCTTCCCACAAGGTCATCTGCAGTATTTGTGCATTGTTTAAATTGCCACTGCCTATAGTTTTGTTTATATTTAATAAACTCTCAGTAAAACTACTTGTCATGTCTTTACAGGTACACTTTTCATCAGGCAGAAAGCAAAATTTGACCCAGAGGAGCCCTCTGTCAGTATAGTCATCGAAGCTCGTGATGGAGGGTCTCCACCTCTGTCATCATCTGCCACAGTTCAAGTTCAACTGATGGACGTCAATGACAACGCCCCCATATTCCACCAGTTGGAGTACAAAGCCACAGTGTCTGAGGACCAGCTACCTGGAGCCACCATCCTTACCTTAGAAGCAGTAGATGGAGACCTGTCTCAGGAAAACTCTGGTTTTGATTTTGCAATTGCCAGTGGGAATGTTGGAAATGCTTTCCAGATTGAGAGCAGTGTTCGTTTCATTGAAGGTCATGGCTTCCAGACTGTAGGAACCCTGATCTTGGCTGAGCGACTGGATTTTGAAGCATTGTCACACTATAACCTCACCGTTTCAGTTTCGGATCGTGGTGTTCCCCAACGGAGCTCCAGTGTACCAGCCATCATCACAGTCACTGATGTGAATGACAACCCTCCTGTTTTTGGCAGAGCTGAATACATAGTGGCTTTGAGTGAAGGGGCAGCTGCTGGTGCAGAAATCTTACGTGTGACTGCAACGGATCCTGATTCAGCTCCCTACGCAGAGGTCCAGTACAGCATCAGCTCTGGAGATGATATGAAGCTGTTCTCTGTGGATCAGTGGACTGGTGCTATGAAGCTCCAAAGGCCTTTAGACAGAGAGAGCCAAAATTCCCATGTAGTAATAGTACAAGCATCAGATGGCCATGGTCGATTTGCTTTGGCACCTATTAGTGTTGAGGTAAAGGACATCAATGATAACAGACCTTACTTTCCGATTGCTACATTAACAGCCAGCATTCGTGAAAACCAGCCTCTTAACTCTGCTGTAACCGTGTTACATGCCATTGATTATGACACAGGAGTTTATGGGCAACTGAAGTATTATTTGATGGACCACTCCAGCCCTGGGAAAGACCTCTTTTTTGTAGATCAGAACTCAGGAGAAGTTCGTACCAAGCAGATATTTGATTTTGAGAAGGTGAACTCGTTCAACTTCATTGCTTTGGCTGTGGATGCAGGCAACAACTCAGCTACTGTCACAGTGCAGGTCTTCATTACAGGAGAAGATGAGTATGACCCAGTTTTTACCACTTCAGATTTGTCTTTTGAAGTTCCTGAGGGAGCCAAGAAAGGTCAGAGCATTGGGCTAGTACAGGCCAAAGATGAGGATGGTGGGGTGGATGGGATTGTACTCTACTCCTTCCCCAATTCCTCTCCATACTTTGATGTTAATAAGACCACTGGCGTTATCTACCTAAAGATGGACAACTCTGGCAGTTCAAGTGGTGGTAGTCGTTCAAAGAGGGAAACCCGCCTAATGACTATGGATGTTTCTGCCCACAGCCCGCTTGACACCTCAAGAGTAGCTTCTGCTCAGGTCATCATCGATGTCACGAACACATCCTTTGGTCTTGCAACAGACTTTAACATTCTCCTTGTCAGCATAATTGCTGCCTCTCTTGGTGTAATAGTCTTGTTAGTCATAATAGCTGTTGCTCTCTATTTAGTAAGATCAAAGCGCAAGAAGAAAGGACAAGATGCTGGAAACAGTACTGCATCTTCAGGCACAGCTCTGCAGAAGTTGGATGAATCTAAACCCTCAGGGAGTGACAGGATCTATCATCAGGCCCTTCCTGGATATGCAGGGGATGAGGAAGGAACAGGTGCAGGCTCTTACACTCGAGGAGGATCCCTAGATCCTTCTCACTCCAGTGGACGGGGATCTGCCGAAGCAGCAGAGGATGATGAAATTCGGATGATCAATGAGTACCCAAGAGTGGCAAGCATCACATCCTCCATGCAAGAGCACATTTCTGCCAGGGGCCCTGATTCAGGAATCCAGCAAGATGCAGACCAGCTCTCTGATATTTCTTGTGAACCAGGTCCACTTGATGCAAGCCAGTGGTTCAAAAGTAAGAAACTGGGGAGCATTAGTGGAAGCCTCAGTGGTACCCTGCTTTCTGGTCAGCTCCCAGTCTACAGAGATGAAGGCGGCGGCTATCTTGGAGTAGGTCGTGGGTTGAATATTTCCCATCCGAAAGATTATGCTTTCCCTGAGGATGGCAAACCCCCGGTTGACGGTTCTCTCACGGCCATAGTAGCAAGTGATGAGGAATTGCGAGGTAGCTACAACTGGGACTATCTTCTCAACTGGTGCCCTCAGTTCCAACCCTTAGCCAGTGTCTTTACGGAGATTGCCAGGCTAAAAGACGAAAGTTTACCTCCTAACAACCCACGGAGACCTTTCCAACCCAAAATCAAGACAGATCCCAAGCCTAGGATTGACCCTCCACCTCTCATTACCTCAGTGGCTCATCCGGGGGCCAAATCTGTTCCACCCAAACCTGCCATAACACGGACGTTCCACACCTTAGCATCCCTAAGGCGCTCACCTATAAGCCATGAAGGCTCCATCTCCTCAGCAGCCATGTCTCCCAGTTTCTCCCCTTCTTTGTCCCCACTTGCTGCACGGTCCCCAGCTGTTTCTCCATTCGGTGTCACTCAAGGTCCCTCAGCCTCCATCATCAGCACCACAGAACACACTCTGGAGCACACTGATGAGGCTGAGATGAGGATTTAATGCTGCATTTAACTCCATTCCGTGGAGGCCTTATTTTGTCTTTTGATAAGACGTATTAGTCACTCTCAGCAATGTTTAACGCTTAAAAATGCAGCATGAAGAATCAGTCTCAGCCATGACGGTGACGCAGGTGTCTGTTAACGGAAAGGGTGCAAACATTGTGCGGCCACGTTACCCTTCTTCAGAGCCACCGCAGTGTTGATGTGAAGAGTTGTTTGCGCATTGCTTTGTTTTGTCTCACTGGCTGGCCAGGGAGTCAAGATGCTGACTGCTCTTTTTGTTTGTTTCTTTTTATACTGATGACTCAAACAGCTTTGAAACTCCAGTGTTATGTTAAGTTCATCCAAAATAGCTGCTATTGTCATACCTTGTAGACCGCAATGAGAACTCTGTAGAAACTCAAACTTATGTCATTACGTATGTTTGTTTATGACTGAGAGACGTTTTATTTTTTACCCCCCTTTTTTGTTTTTACAGTGCTACTTTGTTTCATTTGCATTTTTTATGAAAGACTTGCCATTGGTTTGAGTGAAGTTCTTACATTTTAGTGGCATTCTTCATATGTATATTTATATATGTACGCTAGCCATAAGTGTATTATCATTGTATAGTGTCTAGGATCACCATACTGTGCGGTTGTGAAATTTGTGACACTTGTAATGTGAATGATTGGAAGATTGTTGTATTTTATTATTTATAAAGAGAAAGGCTGAAAGCATTGAAACTCCCCATGTTACATAGTGTTGTATTATAGGTCTTTTGAAGTTGTATTGTTCCTTGCCCTTTAAACTAGATGGTTAGCACCTTAGCTAATTTATTGTTTATTGAAAAAAATGACAGGGCCACACTCTTTCGGCCCATCTGGAGACCTTTTTGGATATTGGTGAAACCTCAAAGACTCTTCTGTATGTAAATTAATTTCTTCCAAAACAGCAGCTCTCTCACACTGTTTCTATGCTGCTTTTTTCTGACAATAAAATGTTTTGTATTGTCTATGTAACTTACGATTGGTTCATTTTAAATTAAGAAAAAAAAAAATCCTCATTATCCGGAATGGTGTTTATTTGCCTTTCAGGGTGAATCACAGAAATTGTACCCTCTTTTGTAAAATCTGGTGGACAATTTCTGCTTTAAGAGGAAGTGCCCTGCTTTTTTATCTCGCAATCTTATGTGTAAAAAGCTAATTAAGCATTTGAATGAATTTCCGGAGATGTTTTGCTACCTCCGGTGCGTGCCTGATACCGCCACTGCCTCAGGTTTAACAGGCCCCTGCTAGCACCCACAACAAATGCAAAGGAAAAGAAGAGCCTGGCATATTTAGAAGTCTGTTTAACCCAATTCTTTTTAGAAGGTGACATTTATTTGTCTCACAGTCTGGAAAACAACCTGAAATTCCGACAGCAGAAGAGCGTCAATCATCTGTGCATATTTAAATCAAATAATAAATTTCTTTTGTCAAACCTGAGTCTCCATTCTTTCTCCAAGTTTAAAATCAAGACCTTAACAGGGATTTGAAAAGCAACTGAAGCATAGCAAAAAGCCGATCATCTGGTTTTAAGAAAAAAGAAAAGAAGGGAGTCAAAATTTGTCCTTCATTAAAAAGCAATTTGAAAGGATACAGTATGTTCCAAAAGCCTAGACTAGAGCCGGGCCTCAGGCAGTAGATACAGCTAGAGACATGGAGCACCCATTCCTGAATCAATTACAGCCATGAAGAAACATTTCCTTGAATTAAAATGCTCATACTAAACATGCATATCCATAATTACGCATTTCATAAATTAGCCGGAACAAATATCTATGACTGATTATATTTACTGTTGTAGTACAACTATACATGTATCCATGCAACCAAATCATTACATCAACCCACTAGCTTTCCAGATGCAGAGGATGACAAAACGCAGACTTTTCCGACACTGTCAGAAAACATATGGCCTGTAAATTGGGCAGTACTCTTGAAATATACAATATCTTATTTACATAAAGGTTGCATATTAGTACCTTTTGAATGTATTGGGCCCAGTAACAAGCTATTGCACAATAAGGGTAGATTTTTTTTCTAACAGTGTATTAGAAATGGAAGCGATCTCACTTATTGAGTTTTCTCCTCTCCTGTTGTGAAGCTGGTGTTGGCTGAAGTTCAGCTCTTCTCCAACTCTGTGCAATGCATGTCTAACTGATTTACACCATCAGATATCATGAAGTAACAACAGTCTCACTCGCTTGCTAGGTCAGTGTCTTGTAAACACTGCGATGAGTTGTATGAGCAGTTCAAACATATTTTCTTTATCGCTAATATTATTTTCAAAATAAGATTTAACCTTAAAGTCTGATAAGCATTATGATCTGTGGGATCGTTGTCTGTTATGAATCACAAAGTTTGTACATTTGTTAAACTGGACGTGGCTATAAAATAGTTTCCAATTTTTGTTTAACGCTTATTGTTTGCTGTTAAGTGCAATTCAATATGCAGTACATATGTGGTTTAGTATAATCTGAATTTTCTATTTAAGTGATTTGTAAATGTTAGAGAAAGTAAAAATGTAATTAAACAGGTATTTGACTGTAGTTTTGAAATAAGGATTGCTATGGGGCAGTATGACGCTAGCAATTTTTGTTTCATTTCACACTAATGACATTAACAAATAAAGAATTATTTTCATACAGTTCAATGAAGAACACTAAATAAATACCACAAAAGTCCTTAGCTACACTGTAAAACCCAACAGTCAACTTTATCAAATTAATAGAGTCGAGTTAACTCAATTTACTGAAAGTTAATTCTATTAATTTGAAAAGAGTTTTGAAATCAGTGTTGAAGGTAATGAGTTAATGAAATGCCTCATTACTTGAACTTAAATGGAGTAAGTTCACAGTACTCATATACATTAGTTTTTAACTCAGATGGTTTGTAGCATTCGGTTTCCTCAAACGGTTTGAGTTGCCTTATTGGGTTTTACAGTACTCTAACTTGGTTTGAGTTCTCTTCATTTACTGGGTTTTACTGTGCTCAAATTGCTTCGTTAACTCAAATGGATTAAGTTCACAGTACTCATTAGGATTTGTTTTTGAACCTAAATGCTTTGTTGCAATCGGTTTCCTCAAATGGTTTGAGTTAACTTGTTGGGTTGTACGATGTACGTGTATGATTTGTAATTGAATATGTTTGGCTCAACTATTTATCCTATACGTTTGTGGCATGGTCAGTTTGCTTGCTAGATCACTTTGCATGGTGTTGTATTTGTGATGCAGAGTGCACAGGCTCGAGTCCAGCAGAAAAATATTAAATCAAAGTAAACCCCCATGGTTGCGGAGCAGTTTTCCTTAGAAACACTATTGGTTAGATTTAGGTAAGGGTTTAGCTCAGTGGTTCACTTGGTGATCTGTTAAGCCTCCTCATGGACATGTAAAAAAAGGAAGCATATCTGAAAGGTAAAGAAAAATGTAATTAACATATCGCACTGGTGGATTTTTCTACTGAAATATGCAACACAGCATACACTGAACAGCATATTTTATACTCTAAGAAATCCTGGGTTGTTGTAACCCAATGTTAGATTTCTCCATATTTGACCCAACATTTGGTTACAACAACCCAGCATTTCTTAGTGTAAATCACCTTTTTCTGTGCATGTTTCGTTGCACATTTCAGATGTGATTTTGTTTTTTCAATTAAATTTAAATTGCACTTTTAATCCAATGCTTTGGTTTGCCTATATTTGACCTATATTGTTGGGTTAGAACATTGTTTTTAGAGTGTATGTTTCACAAAAAAGTAGGCTGAGGCATGTAGTTCCAATGAGCCTTAGCTGAAAAGACTGAAACTAGGACAAGTCCATGAGGATAGAGGGTAAAGTGGACATGTAAATTGCACTGCAGTGTTAAGAATAGGGAAGACTTATCATTTCAGGAAGTATAGGACTCACATTAAGTTAAAGTGCCTCTATGCTGTTTTAATGGTTTGGAGTCTCCAATAGGTTTTCACGTACAGTATATGTCCATCAGGGTAGCACTAACAAATCACCATCTTTTATTTCCAATCCTGCTTTAGATTTTTGCAAAGCATTTTTTGTGGTCTCCTGGATTTTTATTTTATTACTATTTTTTGACTGATGAAAGATCATCCACTCAAATCTCAAAGCCAACATTCATATAGATAAAAAGAGAGAATTTTAGATAATTATTGCATAAAAAACAAATACACAATAGTAAATAGCACAGAAAATGAAGTATTTACGATAAATCATGAAGCTATCTGCAGCTAAAATGTCAAGCTTTTTCCAATGAAGGTTATGTAGCTAAGAATGATCATTAATGATTGGCAGGTCAGAAAGATATACACACAACAAGTGAATAGTTATACTTTCAAAAAGCAAGTTAACTCATTGCCTTAAAATCGACAAGTTGACTTTACTTAAAAAAGGGATTAAGCCTTTGAGTAAACATCATTAATTTGGAACTGTTAAAGGTCCCATAAAATTTAAATAAAGTTTTTTTAGATGTTAGCATTGTTAGTATTGTTAGTTTTTAGGATATGTAGAAGCTAGTATGCACCAAGAAAATTTACGTTTAGGAGATAATAAAACTGATTTAATCATGTACTGTAAAGCTTGTAGTTTTTCACTTCCACATACAGTATATGGATCCACGGTTTTATTTACATCACCACATAGTTTAGTTTCTCATCAAATCGTGGCCAATCAAATGCTCTCTACTAAGGTATCCACTGGGTCCTAAGAAGTCTTAAATCTTAAAACCTAAATTTTCTGCCTTGAAAAGTCTTAAATCTGAAGTATTGTGCTGTAGGTCTTAAACTTTTTAACAGGTCTTAATTTTCCTTTGTTTATGTATAGCTTCCCAATCTGGCCATTAACACTTAATACAATCACCAACAATCCCAATCTAAATAAAACTTTTTTATTATTCAAAAATAGCATTTTAACTGCTGTAACTACTACTGCTGTAACATTTGTTTACAAGTAATAACTGCTGAGGATATTGACCTGACCTATACTTTTTATTATTTTATTATTGTTATTGTGTTATTAAATGTATTAAATTAGAATCATTTTTTGATAGGGAAATTGAAAATCTTTTCCAACTGGGATATTCGAAAAAAAGAAAAAAAAATCCTTATCATTTAGCCTTGTATTTCTAAAATTTCCTTCATAATGGTCGTAAAAAGGTCTTATATATATATATTTTTTTTGTACTTTAACTTAGTGAGATCTGCAGAAACCCTGTCCCTAGCATCTGACATGCCCAGTCCTCTTTAAGATGCTTCAACCACACTCACTGAGAGAGATTAAAAAAATGCTATTTGCTAGAGCTACACTGTCTTTGCGGGACCTTTAAGTTGACTTGACTTAATTTTATAATTAGTTACAGTTTATTTACCTAATACTTATAAGGCAACAGGTTTCACTTAAAAAAAATCTACTAATCACTTTAAAACAATGGGTTTACTAATTTTTTAAGTCAACTAATTGCATTTTACAGTCCATATTGTGACTGCATCCAAAAGTGGACCTCTGGTTTTAATATAAAACTGCAAGTTTTTTTTTTTTTTTTTAATAGCAACATTAGATCAATTAAAAAGCACTTTGAGGGCAGTTTATTCAGTTTTAAGATAGATTATTTCTTAAACGCTTCAATAGAAAAACCTTGGAAGTCTCCATAGCATAGTTCAAGTTGAAAATACACATCAAAGAAAGATCCCACAGTTCTGCACTTGGCTATTAAAACAAGTCTGCTATTCCCATCAGGTCAGTAGTAAATTGTAATGAGCCTCGCATTCCTTGTGGTGAAGAAGAAAAAAAATCATATGTATCTTTCATTGATTAGGTTTGCTCTGCGAAGTTGAAATTACTCAAGTAAAATAGAAAACCTAACGAAGAATGCGTCTATGAATTTGAGCTACGTTAAACATATATTCTATATGACATGACTGTCGTTTTTGGCTCTTAGATGTTATCATCTTGGGATGTCATAAATTTTCTTGAAAAGCGCCTATAAAGAGGATCTGTTAATTAAGAGCAGATCTGACTCCAGAAAAGGGAAGGTTTCTGCATTTTCTTAAATACAACCTCTGTCTTCAATTTTATTAGCGCTGACTCAAAGTCACCCTAAAAACAGCCAGATTCAGTGCTTCAATTGAGTCTGGGAGACTTTGTTTTGCTACTTTTGAACTTTATTTTACACTAAATGCTCTTATAACATGTTTTCTGTGTATTTTATCCATTCCTGTCTTTACAATTGAGGTACTTGCTGTCAGTTTGCATTACGTTTGATTGTATCATATTTCATATTTGCTTTCTTGATTAGCTCCGCCATCTTAATTACCAACCTGGAAACTCACCAACGCAAGTATTATATATTATTGAATTGGTGGTAATATATGTATATAGTGCCCATATTAAAGATCATATCAGAAACCGCTTGTATAACACCACAAATG